CGAATAAATTTGATTAGAAATTCATATGAGTGGAAAATTTGCAATAAATGAAGAAAATTTCACTAAAAAACTTGCATTTTAATAATTTTAACAATTGTGTTGAAAATTTTTGATCCTTTTATTATGCACTTGTCATTCCTTTCCGTTCATTTTTCTTGGTAATATCACAAGTTAAAAGAATAAAGTTAGATTTTGAAGTATGGGGAATGAAATGCTCTTGCATTCTTTCAATGTTTTGACATCTGAATGATTGATGAACAGAGAGTTCTTTTTTTATGCTAAATTCTACAAAGTGAGAAGAAAAAAAAAAAAACTGAAAAATTGACTGATATGATGTGATGAACGAAGATAACATTCCATTTCCGATGCTAAAATATTTATTTATTTTTGACGAAGCATAGCTGATATAGTGAGACAGTAACAATTCGTGTTTTATTAAAGCTGAATTTATATTGCGTGAATTTAATATATTAAAATTTTTCATTTATAAAATGGAGTCGATCTCCTGATCACTTAATAACAGTCAACTTTAGAAAACTTACAATCGTATATTTTAAATGTAAATAGCACTACTTTCCATACATTTCAGAAAATTAGCTGAATCCTTAATTATTGGCTTACTGAATGTATGCACAAACTATTCTTTTTGATATTGTTTAATATTTTGCTACTCTAAAATGATGGAACTTAACAAATGCAAAATATTGATAACAGATGGAATACGTAAAAGTTTCTAAGCTAGTAAAAATTAATGATGGAGGTCTGAATTTTAGTTTTTGCTGAAAATGCAGTTTATTATTGTTGCTATAAACTTGTCGTGACCTTTCACGATAGTTCATCTTGACAATCTGATCTAATTATTGCTGCCAAAGATAATATATTTCAACTTATTAATCCAAAATTTTTCCTATGGGTAAATGAATATAAATGCAGAGTTTTTTTCTAAAATTTTAAATCTTACAAATCATTTGTCATATTTGGAACTTTAGATTGCATATGTGAGACGAGCATATATTTCCCGAGAAAGTTTGATAATTTTGATTGACTTGGCTTATCTGATGGATAAAATGAATGATTTAAAGTGGTAATGATCTGGTAAAAGCGGGTTGCTCTATGCTAGTTGTATTTACAATTTGCTAATTGGAATTAAGGATTTATAGAGAACTAACTTAAAGTAATCAAGGATTACAGAGGTATCAGGATAGTGGAAAGGTCGCAAAAAATATTAGAGATTAGAAGAGTTTTAATGGTGTCTTTGACATTAGCATAAACAAGTATGTATGATTTAAGCATAAACTTCAATTCTTTATTATCGAGTCTTGTTTTTTCAGTTAAAAGTTCTTAAATTTCTTTTTTCACCCAATCTATACAAATTTCATGTTCCGTTAGTTTATCTTTAATCAATTTATTTAACCCAAATTAATCTAAATTTAGAATAAATTACTTTTACAGAAATGTAGGATTTACTTAAATCCCGAAGGAATATTTCTCTTTTGCATTTTATTTTGTAAACAGAAACTCATCTTTCTTCTCTTCTTTCCATCTTCTCTTGACCTTTTCCATAGTTTCCTGAAACAAACTTTTTTTTTTTTCAAATTTCTTCCTCATCCTTATTGTTATCGAAAGCTCTTGTACAAACATTTCGGTCAATAATGCCGCCTAATTACACACCTGACTGGTTTCTTAATGAAGTAGGAAGTGATAGGTCACGTAATGATTTATTTTAAACGAAAAAAATTTGAAACAAATGTTACATTTATTCTGCACCTCTGTTTGTATCTATTATCTAAATTTTCAACCATCATTCAAGTATAATTTTCATAATTACACATCAATGAGAGTTGCTACAATAAATTTTGGAGTCGTTTTTGAAAAACTAATATTGCTAATGATTGAAGAACACGCACAGTTAGTCTATATAAAAAAACAAATGAATTAAAGCGTATAGATAGAATCAGAAATGTACGGTCTTGTTTGAAGTTCGACTACCTCTACTAAAGCGATTAAAATATAATAAAATTGGAAAAGCCATTGTAATTAATTACAATTGCAAATTTATTGAGAGAAAATAATTTCCTTTAAACTCATTCATTTTACTCATTCAGCAACCTATTTTGGCATTTTTTTAATGAACATTTTACAAAAATTTTATTTAAAAAATGGATGAACGAATGGCTAATGACTTATATTTTCTCAACATAATTTTTACTTTCTTCTTGATTGTTTTATGTTGACCATAGTTTTGATCCCGCCTTTGATCAATTTTTTTTTTTTAAGTTAGAACACCTTTATGAAATATTTCAAACGGCATTTTCAATCCAGTATTTTATTTCCTTCTTTCCACTCACAGTGGAAATACCCTAAGGGTACAGGAAATGTGAGGTAGGCGGTAGCTACTTGCAGGTTATTTATAAAGCTACTGAACATTACACTCGATTCATTCAGTGTACAAAATTATGATTTCAAATTTTCGGTTAGTTTTTGAAGTCCTCGTTTACGCTCTCATATTATCTATACATTAAATCTGATGTTTCATGCTTAACAACTAGAATAATGAATATATTAGCTTCAATAAATTATTCGTCCTGCTAGTTTAGTGAGTTTTTTGCCAATGCGTTGTTATTTGCATAGCAAGAAACAGTATGAAGAAATGTAAAAAAAGATATGAATATTAAATGTGACAAATATAGTTGACACCAAATAAATTAATAATAGATTTGTTAATGTCATAATACAGAGTTAGGTATAAATGTATTTCTAAATCTATAATTTAGATGAGTTATAGAAATAATCATTCTTCAATTAGTTTGTTACCAAATGTTTTTTTTTTCCTTTTTTTTGAATCCTTTCTGAAACTATAAATTATTTTCAAACTTTGAAAACGTGCGAGCAGATGTTTAATAAAACTGTCAAATCTAAACAAGCACATTTATAATTTTGTGGCGTTTTTAAAACTCAGTAAGTTCATAATATTTCAATATTCATTTCCTTGCTTAATTCATTTAATTATTCCTTCGTAATTGGTTGTTGAACTAACAGCTACAGCAGAAATTAAATGATAATTTATCATTAAGATTACGTATGATCTATTGTTAGCAAATTATTCAGTACTGATAAGAGTTTTCTACTTTTATTTCCTTTCATTTAAGTTTCCAATATGTATTTCAGGCCTCTTTGTGCTATTAAAATATTTTTCACTTGAAAAAAAGGACTCAAAGAAAATATTATCTTAAAAAATTCTGTTGAAAATTTAATTTTTTAGTAAAAGAAGCGACCATTACAGTTATGAAATGCAAAGATCTGCAAAAGATGTACGAATGCTAAAATTGCATTACTAATCTGTGTTATTTAAATTTGATAAAATTTTGTCCACAAAAAAAAAAAAAAGCACAAATACAACAAATTGGATAAATTGTAATTGAAAAAGAACGATTGCACTTACTTGCATGCATTTCCATTTTGAATGAAAAGAATTTCGCGCAAAATTTAAATTCTTTTTTCTATGAAAAAAGATTCGAATAATTCAACAATTCTCATAGTTTGTCATTTTAGTCACAGGAAACATTTGTTGCAATCACATGAATTTTGATGATTAAATGAACATTAATTCATCTCCGAGTATACCAAACGTCACTGACAGCTTTTGATAATTGAAATGATGAGACAAGAAATGGAAGATCAATAGTACTGGTAGTGGTAATGATTGTGATAGTCATTAATCGGCGATTTTAATTTTTACGAGAATGATCTGCTGATGCAGAATGAAATTAGCTTGATAGAACTTCTTTCTTAAATCATTATTCAACCTGTTTTCCATCAGCACAGCTATTTATATTTTATTTCTTTTAAACTGTATTAATTTTATTTCACGTCCTTAAAATTGCGTTGTCATAAGTGTTCATTTTCGGATGGACAATTAAATGACATTAACTTTTATTGACATTGCAACCACTAAATACGCTAAATGTTGACATCCATTAATTTAATACATTAGCTAATTTGTTACAAAAGTTAGTTGTAGAACTATGTTTATTGCAGTAGTTGTTGCTCAAATGTTATATTCAAAACATGTCATAACACTTTGACTTCGTGTGCTTTAAATATTACATATCTGATGAAGGCTAAAGTTGTAGTATACTCGCATGTAATCTACTAAGGGTGAAGTTTATGCTGAAATATCGTTTACTGAATTTTTTAATGGTAATTTGAACTTGCTATTAATAATTGCTTAGTATTATCCAAAACTGATAGTTTCTTAATGAATCATTTCGTCGATTATTTGATGCTGAATTTTACAACTGTTATTTGTTTTCATTTTTCTTTATTTCCTTTTTCGGTAAGAAATTTTATTGCAGTGATAGAAAATTGTGTTTTAAGATTTTTCACTTCTAATTGTTTTAATATTTCTAGAATTCATTTACATTAATCTTCATTGCTTCCTATTTGCCGATTTTTTTTTACACTCTTTCTTGCTATTTCCTAAGACATGTTGCAAAAACTTAGTTGTAAATGAAAAATCAACATTTTATTCTGATTCTTTAGTAGACAACAGAAATCTAAAACCAAAAAAGTATGATGCATTGAAGCACATATCGAGAAAAATAAATTCGGTACTAGATTGAAAATATTTATCTTTAAACCTGATTAACAATTTTGTCTAATACTGGAAAATTTAATCAAATAATTAAATGTTTAATTTGTATTTTGCGCAAAATTACTTCAACTTAAGAAGGGATATGAATCAACCGCTTTATTTATTTATTTAACGACACATCAAAAACCGGATTTTCTTTTAATCAGCAAACCAGGAAAAATGGAAATTTTTGCATAATTGCTTTCAAGATAAAAAATTTTTAAGATTAAGACACTTTTTTTTTTTAAAGAAAAGGGACAGGATATTAAGTAAAACAGTTAATATTCATATCAGAGAATCAGGATAATTGATGTGAGGTACTCATAAACATTAACATAAAAATGACGAAGATCAACTTCAGCCTATAATGTCACTGTATTCCACTGCAAACAACATTGGGATAACACTGGTATTGTCTTTGTTTTTACTTTCACACTGAAAATTTATGAACAGTTATGAATACACGGTACTTTATAATTGAAATTTCAACTTCAGACACTTGCGTTTAAATAAAAATATTGCGGACTTGGTTTAATGAGAAGAGCAAAGTGACCTTACCTAGTCCAGAATTGATCTCATACAGAAAGCAGTAAATGACTCTAGATGGTGAGAAAAGAAAATCAAAACCAGTAGTTAAAAAAAAATGAACATTTCAAATTTCATCTTTTTTGTTCACGTCTTTTTTGATATCAAGAGTAACTTTGTTTGTTTGATAAATTAATAATTATTTAATTTACTGTTAATTTGTTGCCTTCTAAATCAGTGTTTACATTATCATTTATTGGGCGCTGTTTGATATTATACTACAGCGATGACTGCAGCAAAATCCGCCAATTACAGATTATTTTATCTTAATGGTCACAAAACAATGAATCTTTTTCTATTGATTCCCTTATAATCTGTAGGCTGTGTTATTAGCCGTAAAAATAAATAATGCGCAAAAGTTGAAAGGTTGAGTTATGCAAAACTACTGAGAAGCTTCAAAATTATGAGAAATTGAAAATTTTTTGTCCATGAAAGTACTGTTTTCTTCCGATTTTCAAATTTGACTCCATTTTGAAGGCTCACTGGTGAATTGTTTGGCGTGTTGAGATAATTGAGAAAATCGAATTTTGGTTTTAATTAATTCAAATTAGAAATTAAATGGTCTCTTTTGTGTCCTTTAAAAAAAAAAAAGAAAAAAATTGCATTTTTCTACCGCCGTAAATATTTTAGTCTGCTGTCCATATGTTAGTGGCGTTTAATTTTCAATCCAGACGGCTCATCTGCTCTGCAAATACAATCAGTCTAGATAAATTGCCATCAATTTTCGCATTTCAAAAGTGATAAATTTAACTAACTTAAAATATATTTAAATAACAGTTCACCAGTCATTTCTTTATATAAAATTTTTTGAATGCTGAAGTAAACTTTGATGTGTAAGTAGTAGACTGAAACGATTCAGTTCTCTTTTCCCTCTTTGTGTTTTTACTCTAATTCGTTTGCACTTTCCAATTTAAACTATTTCATTTCATATAAACCAGAAAATTAAAATTTCCATGTTTCATCTAAGCTATTGTAAAACACGAAAAATCGTTTCGATCGAAATAGTTTTTATTATGACCATAAAACGTAGGATAAAATTACTTGTTATAAATTTTGTTAATTTCAATAAATTTCAGATACACTTCGTTTTTCTGTAGTAATATGCGTCACGAATTGTTTATTCTTTTCTTCATGTTCCTCCTAGTATCCAGCAAATTGCCAGAAAAGTAAGTATAAGTCCTAAAAAGTTTTTATCGGCTCTTCAGACAATTACTAAAAATTGTGTTCAAAGAAGCAATATAAGAGCCTTCTTAAAACCATAATCTAATTAATACTTCGAAAAAATTGCATAAAAATGACTAAACTTTAAAGTATTATCTGAAATATCATATTAAAAAGACTTTTTTTTTTCTACTATTTCAAATAAATTGATTCTTACTGGAAGATTTTTTATAAAAAGTAAAAGTTTAGGGATTTATGATTTTTAGAAATTTAGAAAAATCCATTTATCGCTGTTATTTTATCAATGAGATGAAGAGCTGAATTGTCTTGTTCATATGAATTAGTTTTGATAATCACAAAATGATTCACTCATTTGTGATTTAGAGCCCGGTATCGAATTCGGAAAGGTGGAAAAATTGATATTCTTCATAGGCAAATGCTTCAGAAATGGAGAACAGCTTTTCGAAAAAACCATCGGTATAAAGCATTCATAACTTTTCAGAATGGAAAAACTTATATCCAGAAAAATTTAATTTAAATTTCGTTCCGTTTAATTTGTTTCATAGTTTGTTTGACTTTTGCTAATTAATTTAGTGTTACTTTTTTCAAAGGCCTTTGGGGCATTATGAATTGACTTCTTGTTTGATTTACAGGGATAAATCTCAAAACAATGAATTGGATCATATTATTGTAGAAATGGATTCATACATAAAACCAAGATTTGGTTGATCTACTTCAGTCATTATCCGTGGACGATTTTTCATTTTGAAACGGGTAAATTCAAGTGATCTTTCCATACAAATAGAGAGGAAAATAAATTTATTCGCTGTATATTTTAATCACAACTGCAAGTTGTTCTCATTGCTTTTTAATAGTTTCTTAGAATCATTCTGAATTTAGCCATTATTTGACCTAATTTCAATTATTTCAATTTTACAACATCAAAAAATTGCTTTGTTACACTTAAGTAATTCGATGAAACATACTCCACAAGGTATCACTATAAACCGGACAAAATCAGTTATTAGTTTCCAGAAGGATTTTATAATAGTGGAACAATTTATTTTAGATATATATTCAGATTGAATTTGTTGTTGCTGTCTTGTTTTTAATGAATTAATAGTTTCTTATGATTATTCTGGAAATTTTGAACAATTTGCTGCTTAAATTAATGAAAAGTTTAAAGATACTAAACTATTAACCGCTACGTTTATATCATTTGTTGTGTGTTTGCAGTACCTCTTGTATTAAGAAATTTTTATGTAAAACATAACATTTCACAGAAATAGTACAATTATACTGCAAATATTATTATATTATAATTTTGTGCTAGAATTTTACATTTTTGTGGGAGCATTTTAGAATGTTAACTTATTATCATACAATTTATTGGATTCTTCCTATTTCACATTCAAAACAATTTGAGCAATTTTGTCGAAATTTGTATTATTTAAAATATTGCTGGCTTTTTCAAGACACAATTTAATAAGCATTGATTTGATTGGATTCTTGAACAGATATTGTAGTTTGGAAAATAAAAATGCAATTGTGAAAGCAAATTTAGAATTACTTTCTTACTGCCCTGTTTCCTTGTGAAACAAAGTAGATTTCTTTTCTTGATGGTTCAGATCGTTGACTTCTTTGTCTTCGATACTGATAGATTCTCGAATCTGTACCGGTTCCGTTCTGTGTACGTGTACTGTGGAGTCTTCGTGAAACACTTTATTATTCAAACCTCAAACTTGGGTAATTAAACCACAGATTAACAATAAATATTATACAACATTACAATAATGAATTGATACATAACACACAAATGTAAATTATAAAACATTTAAAGATATAAGCAAGCTAGACACCTCGCAACCAAGCCACACCAAACAAGGAACTATAATGAATGGCTTTATGAGAAAGAAAATTGGGAGGGATTTTATGAATGCTAAGGTTACAAAGCGGATTGAAATAATAGCCTTTGTTCATTACGTTATAGTTTCGCCATTGTAGAGACAGCAATTAAACCTATAAAATGAACTTTTGATACTTTCTGCAAAGTCTGTTTGCAGAAAGAAAAGAGCAATAATACAGTAATTGTAGAGGTGAAAAAATAAAGCAAATTCTTGCATATTTCACTTTTGTTTTTCTTCTTTCATCAGATCAAATTATTGCAAAATGAACAAATATTGCTGCAGCAAATATTTCATGTACAATATCTTATGGTTACCTTTAACGCTTATGAAATTAATCATTGTAATGTCCAAAAATAAATGTTTCATTAATTGATTTTAGAAATTATCATACCAAATCATATTTCCATTTCTGCAAACTTTTAGAAAAAAACAATCAGCGAAAGTATGCAAGGATAAAAATCTCTCGAAAATTGTTTTTGATATTTGCATCAAAAGTAGGGGAAAGGAAGTTAGCTCAAAAAATATTTCAAATCTTTAGAAAAAAGCAAAGCAGTCGTGACTCTTGATGAAGATCATGCAAAGTATTTTTTGAAAAATGCTGATCGTTAATATTTTCAATATCTAATGCGATCAATAAAATAAGCAATAAATCATCACGACATTTTGAAAGAAAAAAAATATAGAAGCTGAAACGAAGTGACTAAGCAAGTAATTATCAGTAAGGTATCACTACAGTTACTGCCAAAAATCCTATACTTACTACTAACAATGAAAAAATGGACAAAGCTGAAAGACAATGAAGAAGAAATTAGCGAGCAAACGAATCATTCTGCAAATATTAATGCTAAAATATATGCACACACTTCAACAGTTCATCCCGATAAATTACAAAAAAATCTTTTGGACAGTTTGTTAAGGAGGAGCTACAAAAGGGGGTGGGCAAGTATACGGGTAACAATCAACTTGGGAAATACAAAACAGATTACTCAATGAGTGTGTCCAAAATTTGCATATGTTCCGTCTTCTTGGAATAGTATATAAGAAGCTCCGTAATCATTCACTTTATTCTAATTATTTTCTCGGTGAGGGAGATAGGTATTCTTTCAAATTATTTTTCTTTTGTTTCATCTCACGTGGGTTTCGAGTTGTCCACGTAAATGGTTTGCGTGTAAATGACGGAACTTTTTACGGAACTGAAAAGGTCAGATGAACTGGAATTTATTGAGAATCGATGATTGAAAATTTGCCCGCCATCTGATTGATCATTAGATTAGGGTAGAAGTAGTTGAAGGCTAAGAGAGTTTTTCTCAAATTTGAGCTGCTTTGCTGGACAATTCTAGTGGCCACCACTATTAATTGTTTGATTTATTTTCTGAAGTTTTATTGGCGGTATTTGTAACTTAAGAAAGTGACGACCTGTTAGAATTAATTTTGATATTATAATAATATTTAGTTTAGAATGGAATCCGAAAATAACAAGACCAATGATGGATATGATCAGAGTTCTAGTGGAGTTATGCTAAAGAAAGATCCCAGAATTTGTGATTCGGCTAAGGTTCCGGCAGCTTTCAGTGAAGGTTACTGCTTTATGAATACGTTTTATTTGCCTTCAACTGAAATGGGAATGTTTTTTTTTTTGCTCATAAATATTGCTTCTTTTGTTGAAAATCTCAGGTGCACTGGTATCAATCGATCGTGAAAATTTGCCTCAACTTCTGGAGGTAAACAAGTTTCTTAAGGAGGAAATGTCACTCTTAAATACTCGGGCGCATATGTTGAAAAAGAAATTACCACCAATATTGAACAGTGAGGGGAATGATTTCACTGACGAAGTAAATCGTGTTCATTTTCCATTCATTTCTGATTTATTTGCTGTTAGCAGAGATGTCTTAAATGTTAATTTTTTCCAAATGCATTTGACATTCAAGTGCATTTTGTAATGTAAAGAATTTTGTTGGCAAAGTTTTATCTGATCTTTTAACGTCCTTTTTTCTAGTTTATAAGAATGAAGGTAGAAATGGATAAAGAGAAGGCTCGGGCGAACAAATTGGAGGCATTATGGTTTTCTGAAGAGAAAAAGATCATTGAAGAAAGATCGAAATTAAAGGAAGAAGAAGATGAATGGAAGGAGAAAATTAAGATGAAAGAAAAGCTTGCATCCAAAGTGAACGAGCTTCATGAACAGATATTTGAAAAAATTGTTGGAGATGAATTGAACTTTATTCAGCATAATTTGTTGGTTGAAACAGATCGCTACAATACATTACGAATTGACTTTGAAACATTTGAACATATTGTGCAGCAAACTGAACAAGAGTTAAGCCATCAGGAAAAGGTTTACCTTTTTCTGTCAATTTGAATTAATTAATCACAGAAATATGATCTTATTTCCACTCTCTTTTTTCCTTTATATTTAATTTTTCTGTTTGAGTTGCTTTCGAAACAAACTGAAATTTGTCATAAAAATGATGTGTTCCAATGTGTTGTACTGCCTCTTACCTATGTAAGGTTGTTGCTTTGTTATATTAATAAACTTGAATGAATCCTTCGATCATTTATCTCGGTTGAAGTTTTTTTTTTTTTTTTAAATACATCTTTTTAGACCTTTGAAGATGACCTGGACCAAATGCAAATCATGAATGCAATGGCGCTAATAGAGCGTGACCGTACAATTTGCACATTGGTAAATCAACTGAAATGGATAACTAAAAGATCTGTCCGAGCTCAAAGGTCGTGACCTTATTGGCAAGAACTTTCATTATAATCAAAATTAGTATAGGAAATTAAACCTATCACATTGACGAAGAAGTCAGTAAAGAAGTGAAAAATGCAAATAGTAAAATTCATTTTAGTATATAATAAACTTTTACTGTATCAATTTAGTGAGAACCTAACAACAGTAGTGCACACTGGAACTCAAACTGTCACTGAATTCGAAACGATGTTCGACGATGAAATATAATTATAAATGAGATTATGTCATTTCCACTTGTATTACTATAAAATTTTAATCGATCGATGAAGCAAAAAATTGAAATAGTTTTGAAAAATAATCTCCTAGAATAATTATACAAAACTGTCATGCAGCTCTCAATACGAGTTTCACTTACTTTTGCCTCCTCCACCTGTCGCTACTGGATTTGTGAAACCGAGTATATCCTTTGGGTCGATCGCACACGAAACTGGCCACATCCTAACTTGTGGTTTATCTCCTGGGCCTAGCAAGCGTAATTGTGGCAGCGAAATCCTCATGTTGTGGGCTTATTTATTGTATCTTCCTTTTAGATTTGTGACTTTGCAAAACTAACGAAGATTGGGAGAAAAGAGAAGAAACTAGAAATGTAAAGAATAAAACTGAATATTATGAGAAAAGCGAATTCTTCCTACCCACTAGAATGTGGAAAAGGAGCAATAGACAAATTGATTAAATTTCATGCGCTAAAAACTTGAAAATAATAATTTGATAATGGAAATGAAAAAATACAAGGAAACCTAAACAGAATACTCAATAAGTGTGTCCAAATTTTGCATATATTCCGGAATAGTATATAAGAAGCTCCGTAATCATTCACTTCATTATTTTCTCGGTGAGTGAGGTGGTTGTCTTTCCAAATTATTTTTGTTTTGTTTCATCTCACGTGGGTTTCGAGTTGTCCACGTAAATGGTTTGCGTGTAAATAAAACTTTTTACGGGACTGAAAGATGAACTAGAATTTATTGAGAATAGAGAGTTCAAAATTTGCCCGCCATCTGGTTGTTCATTAGATCTGGGTAGAAATGGTTGAAGGCTAAGAGAGCTTTTCTGTGGTTTACATCGCTTTACAGCAAATTTTCATCATTTCATGTGATTGAGTAGTCCTTTAATATCGCCGCCTAAATCCAACTTAGACTAAGTTCCACTCATTCTTTTCCGAACTTATCAGATTTGACAACAAATTCCTTAGCAACTGCTTTGCTGGACAATTCTAGAGGATAACATCGTTGTTTGATTTATTATTTTCTGAAGGAGTATTAGTGGTATTTGTAACTTAAGAAAGTAACAAATTTCTTCTTGGAATTAATTTGGAAGAATTATGAAAGAAAGAAGTGATGGCTTCAGTTTAAGATGGCATTCGAAAACTTCGGTTTTAACTCAATATCGTCCTTGCTTGAAACTATTCAGCAACACATTGCTGAAATTGATGCGAAAAACGAAGAGCTTGAAGAAAAGATATCGGAGTTTGAGCAACGCGCCAGATTGAATGTACCGAATAACCAAGAAACACAGGAAAACGTAAGTCATTTTTAAAAAAAATTTAAGTGCTAGAAATCAGAATTTGCATGAAAAATTGAGATTTATTCTGAAAACTTAATTTTAGATGCAGCAAAATCAGTCGGATGGTAGTAATTCGGATGAAGAAATTGAAGAATTCCTGCGTGAGTTGTACGCATTTAACGGCGAAGCGGAGGCGAACGGATTAGCACCAGCGGATGCAGTGGATGCAGCTAATGCAGTGGATGCAGCGAATGAAGTGGATGCAGCGAATGCAGTGGATGCAGCTAATGCAGTGGATGCAGCTAATGCAGCGGATGCACAAAATCATCAGTAGTTTCCCTTTATTTGTTTCATGGGTTTCCCTTTTTTGTAAATCTAAACATTTCTTTTTAAGTATACCTGAAATTGTAAGTGCTACTAAAATATTGTTTATGATAAATAATGTTATAATTTCTCTATCCAGCAGTTTTTTCCTTCGATGAAATTTTGTGAACTCATTTCTAAATTTGGTATTAATCTCTCAGTAATTTCTGTTGCGAAGTAGCCGGTTTGGTTTCTATTTACTTTATTTCTCGAACATTTTATAGCTAATCTTAGTTATTATGGGCTAGGGGGAGGAGGAGGATAGAGCAACATAAACAATCATCCTTCCCTCCAAAAAAAAAAAGAAAAAGAAAAAAAGCATTTTAAAAAGGACAAATTTTCTGAACTAAGAAAGAATTAAGTTAAGGAAATTTTGCTGCTAGATTTAAAAATATTTAATTGTGATCTAAGAGATATTCAAAAACTTTAACTTATTTTATTCTTAAATATTAGGATTAGTATTTTTCGCAATTGATAAATACAAATAAAATGTCAAGATTTCAAGAGTAATTATCTCAGAAAAAGTACAAATATAAAATGATTAAATAAAAATTGCAGAAAAAAAACCAAACGACAATCCAAACTTAAAATAAGCCGGCACACTATGTTTTTTTTAAAGTGTTGTTTTAGCTTATTGTCATAAAAATAGCGTAAATGATTGATTTTTAATTATTTCAAGTATGAATGTTTTTAGGAAATTTTTTTATTAAAGTTTTAAAATAGACCTGAATAACAATTTTGTCTAACACTGGAAAAATTAATCAAATAATCAAATGTTTAATTTGTATTTTGCGCAAAATTACTTCAACTTAAGAAGGGATATGAATCAACCGCTTTATTTATTTATTTAACGACACATCAAAAACCGGATTTTCTTTTAATCAGCAAATCAGGATAAATGGAAATTTTGCATAATTGCTTTCAAGATAAAAAATTTTTAAGATTAAGACACTTTTTTTAAGTAAAGGAACAGTAAGTAAAACAATTAATGTCATTGTTAATTAAATACTGTGACACAAATGCGCTTTTTGATAGAGGAATGTAACACCAACCATCGTTATACTATTTTTTAAACAACTAAAATTTAAAAATCAGAGTTTTCCTAGAATTTCGATTACTTAAGATGAAAATGAAATGTGATACATGGCCAAATGAATGAGACAATAGGATTGTAACTTTTCGATGAAACTTTTGGTTTATTACATTATCGAAAATCGAAAATATGCATAAGTTCAGTCCGCGACGGAATTATAGCTAGCCAAAGCAATTTAAATATGGCCAAGTTATGGAAGGTAGAATCAGAAGCTATTTAAGATGTTTTTATCAACCAAAAAATTTAATACATTTTTTTTTTTTTGTATACATTATAATTAGTTAACGTGAAAAAGTTCTGATCGATAATTAACGATATTTTTATCAACAAACCAATCAAATTTTTTCAGAGTCCAATGAAGTAATGGAACTATCAACTCGCGATCCATTCTTTACTGCATGCATATTTTTCTTGGTTTATCCAGTTCCTGAAAATACTTCTAACTTTTGGAAGAAAGAAATCAAAATTCCAACAGAAAGTTAATAACTCTAATTTGGAATTGAAAATATTTTTATGACTAATTGACAAGTAATTAAAATAATAATTTTAATTACTCGTTTTATTATCAGCACATATTCCCAAAATTGGCTTCCACACGCCACCTGTGCATTTAGATATTGCACTACCATAAAGACGTTGTCCAGGTTGACATTTAATGATTATTAGGGTACCACGTCTAGTCTTTAGTGACTGAAAATTTCACATTTTACAAAAAATGTTTCATAGAAGACAAAATAGATGAAAGCGATAAATTAAAGTTCACAGTTAATGGTGCAACAATGATAGATGGAAAAGGCTTTACTGTACTGTATTTCAATAATGGTTGTCTGTCGGATCCATATGGTTTGCAGAAGTTTTCATCGTATTTTGGTTTCAATTTGCAAACACCTAAAATTAAGGGTTTGAGAATCTTTAACCTTACTCTTTACCAAGCATTACACAAATAATTCTTTCATGATTGCAAGATAATAATCATACAATGACATATGAACAATATTTCTTGCAATAAAATATAAATTAAATAATGAATAGAATGGCATCAACATTGAGTAGAATTTAATAATTGAAATGAAATGAAACAGTAACCGAGCTTTGGTCGCCATATTCCATCAAAAGAGCATGTGGTGACATTATTGCCATAAAGGTTGTGATAAAGGTGACATTTCATGTAGGCGGTGCTACCTATACCACGTATTTTACCATTTTTCATATTGTAACCAACGTAACTATTTTCTGCGTATGTTAATCGTGGACATCTTACTAGATGATATTCTAAAAAAAGAAAAAGAAAAAAACGATACGACTATAATGATCTTATTGAATGCTATTATAACTACTGATGCAGTCTTAATCATAATTGACTCTTAATTACTATCTCATATTTATTAAATTCATTCAATTATGATATTATAAATAAAAGTTTCGGCAACATACAAAGGGTTTTCAGCAGAAACATTAGGCAAAAAATTATTCTTCTGAAAATATTGGCCGGTAATCGGTTATAATCCATCAGATAGATAGGCCTCTTACCATTAATAAGCCTTAGATGTTCAACGAGTATAAGTTCAGTCCCTTTTACTATTCCTTTCGATGTATCATTGAAATACTACCGTAGTTATCTCTAATTTTTCAATATATTCGTCGAAAAATAGCAAAATTTCTTGTTGCAACAAACATTCAATATCTTTTAGATAGTTTAATTGATAGAAAACTTTATAGCAATAATATTTAAGCATTTATAGAAATTTTACCAGCAGTGGTAAATGTTCTCATACCGCAGGTGGACAGAACGACAATAACCAATATTGAAAGTTTCAGAACCATTTCTCTGATTATATAATTATTAGAGACATATACAAATTTTTAATTAAATTCTTGACTGAAAAACAGCACACATTCATCAGTACTACATATTATTGCTAAGTAAACGAAGAGAAGGACAAAGACAAAGCCAAGATTGTCATCAAGGACAGAATGCTATATGAGGCATAATGTTATGGTGGGGTGAATTTAATGCTTATGCGATAAAATTTCAAACATAAAATCTATTACTTTGGGCTGAATCTTACGCAAAGAATTTGAAACAATGAGTGAATTCAAAAGGAAGAAAAAATCTGAAAATTCTCTGAAATTATCTAAAATTATCTGAAAAATTGTTGCATTTTATAGCTTACATCTATTTATACATGAAAAGCTAATAATATTATCGGTAAAATGCTGTCAACGTAAACAATAAAATTTGCATTTAATCTGTTGCAAACAGTTTGTCATAAACCTCAGAATCAAAAGATTTTATTTGCTTGTGTGTGTGCAAACGCAAAGAAATTTTATAGCACAAAGGTACAATTCTTAACATTGCTGATCAGAAATCATTTTTTTAGCAACTGATTCTCTAAAACTCTAAAAGAAGAATTTTTAGTGAGCAGTGCAATAACATATTGCTTAGTAACTTATATGTACCTACTTATTAGTATTTCAATTTAACAAAATTTTTCTGCAATTATTTTGAAAAAAAAAAATTAATTATTGACCGATTTTTTTGTTTTTACCTAAAAATTCTTTTAGAGTTTTGAGTGATCTATTTCAGAGGCACCAAAGAATCCGATCTTACAATAAGTTAACTGTTGCTTTTGTTTAACGGCCTAGTTTAGAGCATTTGTCATCAAAAATAAAAGTGTATAAATTAATAAAAAATATGGATCAATTGTCTCTACAATTTAAATAAAATATGTCAAATTTAGGCATTTGAATTCAAATATCATTTTTCAGCATTAACTTAATTAGTTGCATATTTTATTTTCTCCAAAAATATATTGAAAATTTAAAAATTTTCTAATCATTTCATCATTTAGTTTTCTGATTTTGGATTAAAAAACAGAACATTTTCTACTTCAATAGGTTCCACTTTATTTTGCTTCATTTTTTCTTTATCATATAAATTGTTTATTAAACATTTAGTTCTTATTTTGTATTAATTATGCTTAAAAATTCTGAACATTAATGATATATGATTTATATAGCTAATAAGCAAACATACTGTTTTTCTCACACTGTTTGTTACTGACCTTTCACCGATCATGTTTTATTTATCGGAATCAGAATTTATAATTTCCACACACTCAAATGTCATTTGCACAGAATGTTACCTTAAAATCAACAAAAAATATAAAATAAAAAAGGTCACATATAACTTTAATAATTTCAATAAAAAAGAGACAAAAAAGAATCATTTTACATTCAACTTTTAATATAATTTATTACTTATTAATATTTAATAACAAAAATAAAAAATGCCAGCAAGAATTGAAAATTTAAAGTTTCTAAATATTTACTTTATTATTGACAACAACATTCAGCGGAGCAATCAAAGAAATCCTTTCGCTTTTTTCTTAATTATAATTCATTGGCAGCTAACATATTGATGAATATTCTGAAAATTATTTATAGTTTATATTTAAAAAATCCTAATCCATTTTAAATCACAGAACCAAAGAGATAATTATAGCATTGTCGGGACTAGTTTACCGGGCATGTATATAGTAAAAACTTGTTTTCTTTTAACTTTTTTCTAGATCTATGCGTCAAATTTATTTTTTGTTAAATACTAACCTTTGAAACAGATTACTATGCTAATGTTAACCGCTCATTAATGATTGGCAAAGTTGGCCGATAAACGATTCATTCGCTCATTTTAATAAATTTTTTTCGGGTATCAGATGATCTTTGCTCTTTACATAGTAAAGGACGGGTATTAATATTATACTTAAAGCATGAAAAGCTATCAGCTTAGAAGACTTTTACAATATTTCGATGTTGCAAGCAAATTTGATTTGGAACAAAGAAGTAGTTTCTAGTATACTAAACAATGCACATACCTTTACTATCAGTTGAAAATATCTGGACAAGCAGGTAAGCTCAATTAAAGATGAGGTTGAAATAATGCTGCTTGCATGATACAATTTGAAACAGTTTTACATTTTCAAAGTCCAATTAACACAAATTTTAGTATTATGGATTATATACAACTTTATTTGATATATTTTATAAGTTAATTGGAGGTTTGCGAGATTATTTCGAGTTCCGCGATACGATCGGTCATTTCACTAGTGCTTCCCAGCAAATTCCAGAAGATTATCACCTCTGGAAATTATTTTTCAAAACCATTTCAATTTTTCGCTTTATCGATTAAAATATTTATAAAAATACATTCAGAAATGACATAGATCTCATATCTGTTTATGTTTCATCGTCAAAAATAGCGTTCGCTAGAGGACATCCATTTCGAATTCGGTGACAGTTTGAGTTCCAGTGTGCACTACTGTTGTCAAGTTCTCACTAAATCGATACAATGAAAGTTAATGATATATTTAAAATGAAATTTTACTACTTGCACTTTCTATTTCTTCGCTCATTTTGTCATTATGATAGGTTTAATTTCCGATACTAATTTTGATTATAATGAAAGTTTTTGTCAAGAAACTCACATCTTTGAACTGGTTGTGTCATCAATTTTAGTTAATTTACAAATATTTGAATAACTATGAATCCATTAAATCTTAGCATTCTTCGCTACTTACGTTACACCAACCGGTCAAGAAATACTGCCCGTTTTTAACACTGAACCACATTAAGTAGTTCGTTTTCAATTATGCGCTAAATTGCTGTGAGAAGTGTCACACCCCATTACGACGTTAAAATAGTGAGAGAACCACAATGAGTTAAATGAAACTTCGAAATGTGCCATGCGATCCTTTCAGTAATTCGTAAAGGTGATATAATGGAAGAGATTAGCAACAGCCCATAATAACTAAGATTAGCTATAAAATGTTCGAGAAATAAAGTAAATAGAAACCAAACCGGCTACTTCGCAACAGAAATTACTGAGAGATTAATACCAAATTTAGAAATGAGTTCACAAAATTTCATCGAAGGAAAAAACTGCTGGATAGAGAAATTATAACATTATTTATCATAAACAATATTTTAGTAGCACTTACAATTTCAGGTATACTTAAAAAGAAATGTTTAGATTTACAAAAAAGGGAAACTACTGATGATTTTGTGCATCCGCTGCATTAGCTGCATCCACTGCATTAGCTGCATCCACTGCATTAGCTGCATCCACTTCATTCGCTGCATCCACTGCATTAGCTGCATCCACTGCATCCGCTGCATCCGCTGGTGCTAATCCGTTCGCCTCCGCTTCGCCGTTAAATGCGTACAACTCACGCAGGAATTCTTCAATTTCTTCATCCGAATTACTACCATCCGACTGATTTTGCTGCATCTAAAATTAAGTTTTCAGAATAAATCTCAATTTTTCATGCAAATTCTGATTTCTAGCACTTAAATTTTTTTTAAAAATGACTTACGTTTTCCTGTGTTTCTTGGTTATTCGGTACATCCAATCTGGCGCGTTGCTCAAACTCCGATATCTTTTCTTCAAGCTCTTCGTTTTTCGCATCAATTTCAGCAATGTGTTGCTGAATAGTTTCAAGCAAGGACGATATTGAGTTAAAACCGAAGTTTTCGAATGCCATCTTAAACTGAAGCCATCACGTCTTTCTTTCATAATTCTTCCAAATTAATTCCAAGAAGAAATTTGTTACTTTCTTAAGTTACAAATACCACTAATACTCCTTCAGAAAATAATAAATCAAACAACGATGTTATCCTCTAGAATTGTCCAGCAAAGCAGTTGCTAAGGAATTTGTTGTCAAATCTGATAAGTTCGGAAAAGAATGAGTGGAACTTAGTCTAAGTTGGATTTAGGCGGCGATATTAAAGGACTACTCAATCACATGAAATGATGAAAATTTGCTGTAAAGCGATGTAAACCACAAAAAAGCTCTCTTAGCCTTCAACCATTTCTACCCAGATCTAATGAACAACCAGATGGCGGGCAAATTTTGAACTCTCTATTCTCAATAAATTCTAGTTCATCTTTCAGTCCCGTAAAAAGTTTTATTTACACGCAAACCATTTACGTGGACAACTCGAAACCCACGTGAGATGAAACAAAACAAAAATAATTTGGAAAGACAACCACCTCACTCACCGAGAAAATAATGAAGTGAATGATTACGGAGCTTCTTATATACTATTCCGGAATATATGCAAAATTTGGACACACTTATTGAGTATTCTGTTTAGGTTTCCTTGTATTTTTTCATTTCCATTATCAAATTATTATTTTCAAGTTTTTAGCGCATGAAATTTAATCAATTTGTCTATTGCTCCTTTTCCACATTCTAGTGGGTAGGAAGAATTCGCTTTTCTCATAATATTCAGTTTTATTCTTTACATTTCTAGTTTCTTCTCTTTTCTCCCAATCTTCGTTAGTTTTGCAAAGTCACAAATCTAAAAGGAAGATACAATAAATAAGCCCACAACATGAGGATTTCGCTGCCACAATTACGCTTGCTAGGCCCAGGAGATAAACCACAAGTTAGGATGTGGCCAGTTTCGTGTGCGATCGACCCAAAGGATATACTCGGTTTCACAAATCCAGTAGCGACAGGTGGAGGAGGCAAAAGTAAGTGAAACTCGTATTGAGAGCTGCATGACAGTTTTGTATAATTATTCTAGGAGATTATTTTTCAAAACTATTTCAATTTTTTGCTTCATCGATCGATTAAAATTTTATAGTAATACAAGTGGAAATGACATAATCTCATTTATAATTATATTTCATCGTCGAACATCGTTTCGAATTCAGTGACAGTTTGAGTTCCAGTGTGCACTACTGTTGTTAGGTTCTCACTAAATTGATACAGTAAAAGTTTATTATATACTAAAATGAATTTTACTATTTGCATTTTTCACTTCTTTACTGACTTCTTCGTCAATGTGATAGGTTTAATTTCCTATACTAATTTTGATTATAATGAAAGTTCTTGCCAATAAGGTCACGACCTTTGAGCTCGGACAGATCTTTTAGTTATCCATTTCAGTTGATTTACCAATGTGCAAATTGTACGGTCACGCTCTATTAGCGCCATTGCATTCATGATTTGCATTTGGTCCAGGTCATCTTCAAAGGTCTAAAAAAGATGTATTTAAAAAAAAAAAAAAAACTTCAACCGAGATAAATGATCGAAGGATTCATTCAAGTTTATTAATATAACAAAGCAACAACCTTACATAGGTAAGAGGCAGTACAACACATTGGAACACATCATTTTTATGACAAATTTCAGTTTGTTTCGAAAGCAACTCAAACAGAAAAATTAAATATAAAGGAAAAAAGAGAGTGGAAATAAGATCATATTTCTGTGATTAATTAATTCAAATTGACAGAAAAAAGGTAAACCTTTTCCTGATGGCTTAACTCTTGTTCAGTTTGCTGCACAATATGTTCAAATGTTTCAAAGTCAATTCGTAATGTATTGTAGCGATCTGTTTCAACCAACAAATTATGCTGAATAAAGTTCAATTCATCTCCAACAATTTTTTCAAATATCTGTTCATGAAGCTCGTTCACTTTGGATGCAAGCTTTTCTTTCATCTTAATTTTCTCCTTCCATTCATCTTCTTCTTCCTTTAATTTCGATCTTTCTTCAATGATCTTTTTCTCTTCAGAAAACCATAATGCCTCCAATTTGTTCGCCCGAGCCTTCTCTTTATCCATTTCTACCTTCATTCTTATAAACTAGAAAAAAGGACGTTAAAAGATCAGATAAAACTTTGCCAACAAAATTCTTTACATTACAAAATGCACTTGAATGTCAAATGCATTTGGAAAAAATTAACATTTAAGACATCTCTGCTAACAGCAAATAAATCAGAAATGAATGGAAAATGAACACGATTTACTTCGTCAGTGAAATCATTCCCCTCACTGTTCAATATTGGTGGTAATTTCTTTTTCAACATATGCGCCCGAGTATTTAAGAGTGACATTTCCTCCTTAAGAAACTTGTTTACCTCCAGAAGTTGAGGCAAATTTTCACGATCGATTGATACCAGTGCACCTGAGATTTTCAACAAAAGAAGCAATATTTATGAGCAAAAAAAAAAACATTCCCATTTCAGTTGAAGGCAAATAAAACGTATTCATAAAGCAGTAACCTTCACTGAAAGCTGCCGGAACCTTAGCCGAATCACAAATTCTGGGATCTTTCTTTAGCATAACTCCACTAGAACTCTGATCATATCCATCATTGGTCTTGTTATTTTCGGATTCCATTCTAAACTAAATATTATTATAATATCAAAATTAATTCTAACAGGTCGTCACTTTCTTAAGTTACAAATACCGCCAATAAAACTTCAGAAAATAAATCAAACAATTAATAGTGGTGGCCACTAGAATTGTCCAGCAAAGCAGCTCAAATTTGAGAAAAACTCTCTTAGCCTTCAACTACTTCTACCCTAATCTAATGATCAATCAGATGGCGGGCAAATTTTCAATCATCGATTCTCAATAAATTCCAGTTCATCTGACCTTTTCAGTTCCGTAAAAAGTTCCGTCATTTACACGCAAACCATTTACGTGGACAACTCGAAACCCACGTGAGATGAAACAAAAGAAAAATAATTTGAAAGAATACCTATCTCCCTCACCGAGAAAATAATTAGAATAAAGTGAATGATTACGGAGCTTCTTATATACTATTCCAAGAAGACGGAACATATGCAAATTTTGGACACACTCATTGAGTAATCTGTTTTGTATTTCCCAAGTTGATTGTTACCCGTATACTTGCCCACCCCCTTTTGTAGCTCCTCCTTAACAAACTGTCCAAAAGATTTTTTTATAATTTACCGGGGTGAAATGCCCCTTTTCCCCTGACTTGTACACATGCATGTTCGCGTGCATGCATGTATGTATGTGTGTGTGTGCACGTGGGAGAGGAAGGCATTTACTTCACGTGTACCACCTAGTAAGAACATTTTCCGCTCACAACTTTTTAGGAAGTGAATAAATTATCAATGTTCAAGGTGGAAATTTACAGAGGAATTTGATGGCGGCCTTTCATCATATTTGTTTTACTGCCGCTTTTAAAGACTTGTGTAATTGGAATGGCCAATTTGAATTTCCTTGGCCATTGTTTTAAATATCGTTTAATGATTCAAAATTGGCCAAAGAGTTTCACGTGTAAATGAGGTTTCAAGCAACTTTCATTCTGTTGAAGTTCAGTTTAATTTACTTTTAAAATTTTTTGTTGATTGTAGCATGAAAAAAATAAGTTTTCGGTGTTTTCTTTTTTTATCATTCATTGAATCTGTTTTGAAGTTTCATGCTAGGATGGATAGATCTGTAATGTCGCTAAGTCTTTTGTAGTAGTAACTTGTAACCAACGATTGCACTCTAAGTCTGAATAAACTTTCTGCACTAAGGTATTCCAATTTAGTACCTTTGCAGATTTATTCTTTCAAACTGAAGCTTTGATTTCTTTTTATTCGCTAATCGCTTTTTGTAATCGGTTGTAATCATTTTCGGTATTCATTTCGAATTATCTTAAAGTCTTTTTCAATCGTCTCGCATTTAAATCAAGTATCCGTTATAGATTTTGAAATGTGTGACATCATTTTCTTGGAGTGAGATTTGCAATTTGAAATACAAATTGTGGACCAACTTGTAGGTACCAATCCACAAGATCACAAATTAAATTGCTGTTACTATTGAATATCGGGTAACTTTCTTCGTTAACTATACTTTCGTATAATGAAGAGCACGATCGGTCATTTCACTAGCTTTTCCTAGCAAATTCTGGAAAATTATAACCTCTGGAGATTATTTTTCAAAACCATTCCAATTTTTCTCTTTATCGATTAAAGTATTTATAAAAAAAACATTCACAAATGACATAGATCTCATATCTGTTTATATTTCATCGTCGGACATATCATCATCAGTCTGTGAACCATACGTTTCGAATTCGGTGACAGTTTGAGTTCCAGTGTGCACTACTGTTGTCAAGTTCTCACTAAATCGATATAATGAAAGTTAATGATATATTTAAAATGCATTTTCACTACTTGCAACGTCTACTTCTTTACTGACTTCTCCGTCAATATGATAGGCTTAATTTCTTATACTATTTTTGTCTATAATGAAGGTTTTTGTCAATAAAACTCACAACCTTTGAACTCTGGCAGAGATAAATTCCAGTTGTTTGGTCAGTATGGATATTATTCGGTCACGCTCATTTAGTGCCATTTCATGTGCATCTTTTATTCCATCCAACTTCTCTTTAAACATCTAGAAAAATTGTATTGAAGAAATGAGGAAATGAAATGATCGAAGGATTAATCCATCATTCATCAAATTTGAATAATATTCATTAATTAACCTTACACAGGTAAGAGGCAGTACAGCACAGCAAAACGTTAAATCATTTTTCTGACGATACAATTCTATAAATTATAGTAACTGATTCAATTTGCTTCGAGAGCAACTCAAACAGAAACATTAAATGCAAAGAAATATAAAGGGAGGAAGGGAGAGAGAGTGAAAATGAGATCATATTTCTGTGATTAGTTAATTCATACTAACAGGAAAAAGTCAAACCTGTTCCTGACGGATTAATTTCTGTCTAGCTTCTTCTGCAGATAGTTTGAGCTTGTTCACCTTACATTGTAGTTTTTCACTATGGATTTTATGTTTGATCAGCCGAGCAATTCCCAATTTGTTGTTATGACTAATGTCAGATAACAACTCACAACATTGTTTTACTATGTTATAAAGATTTTCATGACCCATAAGTTTTTGCTCCCACTCAGTTTTTTTAAGTTCAAATTCCGATTTTTGTTTCTCAAGGAGTTCCTGCTTTGATTTTCGTAATTTTTCCAATTCTTTTTGCTGAACTTTCGCTTTGTCCCGTTCTATCTGCATTGCTGCATACTAGAAAAGGAATTGCTCAAAATCAAAGAAAAATTTGTGAACAGATTCATGTACTTGAAAAGAAAAAAAGAACAATTTAAAACTAAATAATTCAGTGATCTTTAAGGCTCATTTACCATTTCATTAAAGTTGTTTCTTTTCTTTTTCTGTGCTAATAGTATTAGGTCTCCCAGCCAACGTAAGTATATTTTCAACAAAGTTATGTTCTCCTTCAGATATTCGTTTCCTTTGATAATATCATTTATTTCATTCTCTGCAACCGAAGATTGTTGTTCTAAAATTTTCAGCAAAATAACCAACATTTATGAGCGAAAAAACATTCCCATTTCAGTTGAAGGCAAACAAAACGTATTCATAAAGCAGTAACCTTCACTGAAAGCTGCCGGAACCTTAGCCGAATCACAAATTCTGGGATCTTTCTTTAGCATAACTCCACTAGAACTCTGATCATATCCATCATTGGTCTTGTTATTTTCGGATTCCATTCTAAACTAAATATTATTATAATATCAAAATTAATTCTAACAGGTCGTCACTTTCTTAAGTTACAAATACCGCCAATAAAACTTCAGAAAATAAATCAAACAATTAATAGTGGTGGCCACTAGAATTGTCCAGCAAAGCAGCTCAAATTTGAGAAAAACTCTCTTAGCCTTCAACTACTTCTACCCTAATCTAATGATCAATCAGATGGCGGGCAAATTTTCAATCATCGATTCTCAATAAATTCCAGTTCATCTGACCTTTTCAGTTCCGTAAAAAGTTCCGTCATTTACACGCAAACCATTTACGTGGACAACTCGAAACCCACGTGAGATGAAACAAAAGAAAAATAATTTGAAAGAATACCTATCTCCCTCACCGAGAAAATAATTAGAATAAAGTGAATGATTACGGAGCTTCTTATATACTATTCCAAGAAGACGGAACATATGCAAATTTTGGACACACTCATTGAGTAATCTGTTTTGTTTCCTAATTTGATTGTTACCCGAATACTTGCCCACCCCCCTTTGTGGCTTTTCCTGCCCAAAAGATTTTCTTGTATTTACCGGGATGAAATGACCTGTCGGGGTGTGTGCACATATTTTAGCATTAATATTTGCAGAATGATTCGTTTGCTCGCTAATTTCTTCACATGATGATTCGTTTGCTCGCTAATTTCTTCACACTTTACATATACTTGCCGTATATTAATTTTCGTATTAAATTTTTCTTTTTTTGTAGTATATTTAATTTTATATCATTTAAAGTTTAATAGGTTCTTTAGTTCGAGTTATATTTATTTGTGCCATATTCTGTTTAAGATGATTTAGATGTTAAATTGTTAGATAGTAGCTTTTGAAAGTGTTCTTTTGCATTTAAGTTTACATTCTGATTGAGATCTACTAAAGATCAAATTGAGAAACAACGATATCATCGAATAATTTTTTGTGGCAAAAAAAAGAAGATTTCATATTGCAGATTTTTTAAATATAGAATAATATTTTCTAAATAGATCAGATGTGATTTGATATTTTATAATACAAATATACTCTAAATGCCATCCAATCAATTCTTATTATATTTTCTTCCACTTTCCCTTTTTTCTTTTTTTTGATTATGTTGACGCATAAATTGTTTACAAAATGAACTTCTCGAAGATATCAAATCTAACACTTCATTCACTTTTTTAGGATGCACTAAAGGAACTCAAACCGTTACGTCACTAATCCTACTGATTTGAATTTGTTGAAAAAACTTTACTGCTATTTAATGAATTATTCCTTCCTTATCTTTTAATTATTTTCTATCAATCAAATTTGTTACTTGAAATTTAGCATGAAGCGATCTGAGAGATTTGTTTATCAAATAAGTTAAAATAAAATTGTCCGTTTTGAAAATCAAGCGAAGCGAATATTTTAAATTAATAAAACGCAATTTGAAATGGATGAGTCATTCCACAGCAGTTCTTGAATTCCACTATAGCATCAATTGTTGAAATGCCAACAGCGATTTATGCTGAACGTTTTGAAATTCCTTTATATCAACGTTTGGATCGACAATTAATCCAAATGTAATTAGAAATCTTTAGTTTAACATACACTAAGCAAACCATTTACAGTACAAGATAATTCATTTCATCTTATTAATTTTAATTTACCACTTTTTAATTTGCAATTATCAGCCTTGTTCAGGTAGAAAAAAGTTTTGGATATAATGAGGCATTGAAAATATGTTTGGAATTCTGAATAAAAAAAAAAATTGTAAAAGCATCACAACTGAGCTTTTGGTTTAATTTATGAATGAAAAAAATGTAATTAAATTACATTTGTTGTAAAGAAAGATGTCATGAAGAAAAAAAAGAATTAATATTTGCATTAAATAGCAATTAGCTACAAATTCATTGAATCGAAATATAACACAATTCATACATAATGCAGCATGTGATTATCTAAACAAAATAGATTGGATTGAAATGTAAAAAAGAAGTGATGATTTGTATTTCATTGCTATAATGACAGCTTTCAAGTGTCACCACATAAGGAGATAGATGGAGATCACAATTATACCAATCAAGTTTAAAATGCTCTGTGAACTGGTCATAATGGATTCATGAAATTGCCTTTTTAGCTAAATAAATAAATCAAACAATAAATTAGAATATTGCAAGTAACATTACTACCTTGTTAGCTTGGAAGTCATAATCTCACCTTATAGTTTTCTAAAAATTTATGTGAAACGAAGCTCAAAGGAAGGTATTGCGAGAAAATTCAAAATCATTGTTGTTGCTGACTGATTTGCCACAACAATAGCTATAAATTTTAATGTGTGCTATTTTACATCGCTAAAATGGTAACGAGTAATGTTCAGCATTTTTGATTATATTAAAATGTCCTTTCAATATTTGTTTTTTGATTAGAATTTTGACTATACTTATAGTTTTGTTTCCTCTTGTCGTTATTTTCCGGATTTTTGAATGTAGATCTATTTAAATCAGAAAATGCTGTCATAAATTATCAAATGCGCTTTCATTTATTCAAATAATAAATGACAAATGAATCATTTGATGTTTAGATAAAGCTAATGATTGTAAAAATATTTCAGCATGAAGTAGTTTGACATTTGAGACATCCATCCATCAAGCGTGTTTTTAAAATAGAAGTTATAATTGCTATTAAAAAAAGATAATACTAGAATTCGGATGAAAATATTTTGTGTTTGGAAATTTTCTTACCTCTCTCTGTATATAATAATAATAATATATTTATCAAAATCAAATGATATTAGGTGGGTGTAGGTTTGAATCTGGAAGAGTGGAAAAGAGTTTAAATTCATTGCTTTGGATATATTCTGCATCAGATGTTTAATTTCATTTTATTTTCATCAAATAATTATTGTATATTTTTGAGTAAAAATTCTATAGAAACTCTATTGTAATAATAAAAAATGAGGCATCGCTGCTATCAAAAATATTTCTAAATTAGTTGTTCCGAGATATTTTCTTGCTTTTTTACTGATTGTTCCAACATAATTTGATGAGAAATCGAGCATAACTGAAACGATTAACCGAGACGGACGAGTTAGAATGGAAAGCGAAGAGAATTAAAGAGGAAATGGAAAGAAATAAAAAATTATTAACTTTGTTGTTATTTGTTATACTCTTTCGTTACTTCTCTCATTTCTCTTCTCAGAGTTTTCAGACAGTGACAGTACTCAGATTTTAAACTTCAAAATTAGCATCACTAAATCAAACAGTTTTGTTTGTTTCTAACATTACTTCTTCCCATTCCATATCTAACTCTTAGCTTATCACATAGCAGCAATCAGTCAGGTAACACTTGAAATCTAATTACATCAAAACCGAAATGCAGTACTGCATGAATTTAAATAATTGTAATATAACATTGTCGCCGCAATGATAATAGTAATAATTTATGAATATTAATAATTATTATTATCATTCCTGCAATAATTATTATACTAATATTCTAGCAACAGTAATAAAAATAATAATGGTTAATAATATTATTATATTAATTACAGCAGGGTAGTATTATTATTATACTAGTTATTATATTAATATTAATCTTATTATTAATTGCGAATTACAGTTCGTTCTCTGTTTGATAAATCGTCCGTCTATGTTATCATTACAATCATTTTTTAACAATGATTTTGCTCTATTGGTCATTCGCTTGCGGTGAGTGTTTTAAACAATAACAACGCGATGATGAATTATTGAAAATTATGAGTAATTTAGAATAATAGTATTTAGAGTTTTTAAAGAAAGAATGTAAATAATGAAGATTTCAAAATCAGTCAACTGCTTCTCTAAAGACTACTCGAAGATTTTGCTTTATTTTTATAATAATTTAAAGCCATGCTTATTGCTTTAAATTTGTATTTCAAAATTCAAGCATAGCCAATTTTTACCCAAATATTGTCTGTTTCAAGAAGTGAAATAGTAACATTATAATCGTAAGTATTTCAGAACTCTATCAAAACAAATCTCATTGGTATTCTTTAATATAATTTGTCGCCTCTATATCGTATTGCCTCTGTATAATTTCAGTTTCCATCAAGCTAAATAATTATAATCCATAGCAGAAATTTGGTGCTTTCACAGCTGTATCTTTCAATTAATACTTTTTTATTCTGCTATTCATTTATTTTCGAATTTCTCCAAGGAAATAAAAAATTTGATGTAACTATTTTGTATTATATAAGGCATCACTTTTAAAGCAGTGCAAAAGACAGATAGACAAGGTGGTTTTAGTATTCATCTAGTATTTCTAACTCATTTTGCTGCTACTGCGTTCATTTGTGAATTGAATTTCATTGAAATTTGAAGATGACAGTTCAAATTGGATATAACTATACACATTTCAACTTTTAATCCTTCGTTATTTTCCTGTCTCTTTCTAAGTTTTCTGCCAATGTTAGGATTTTTTGTTACAATTAACAATAAAAATTGATGTTAAAGGAATTCATGCTGAAATGAAACTGATTCAGGAAAAGGAAAAAAGTAAGAAAAGGAACTGTACGAAAGATTAGTATGAATTAAATGAAGAAAATAAACAAAATAGGTTTGTAAACATTTGATTTTTTTAACTTTGTTGTCCACTTATTACACATTGCAAAGGAACTTCAAAGGTGGATTCAAGTGCTTTTCAGAATAATAAATATGAAAAAAGTAATTATAAATTTCAATTCTGTTACTTCATAACTGCCTAATGTTCGTAATTCACTTCTGTTTATCATACTAATAAGTTTATAAGCAGACTGCATGAGCTTACCGTTTTCAGTGTAAATTTTCAAAGTAACTGGCGTTTCAGAAAAGCTGAAGTATGCCCTAAATATCTTTTTTCTTTATGAAGCTTTCATCAACTTTTTTAAAAGATTTTCAAGGAATTTTCTTTTTTTTTAAAGTTTAAATCCAAACTAAAGGATTGCGAATAAGTGGTAAGAGTTCACAATTTTAATAACTAGGTTTGCATTTCTTCAAATTTCTTAGGTATGGACACCTGAAGCAGTATTATCCTGATTTCCTATCCGTTATTTTATCATGCAAATTTTGGATATAACTAAGCGCCTACTTTTTGAAAGTATTCAAGATAGTAGTTTTAGAAGTTTTTTGTTCGCTTTCAGCTGCTAAACATTTATTAGTGTCTCCCGAAAAATTTATGATTGCCGTGCTTTAACAGTTTTATCGCTGGCATTTATTTCTTCAGTGCTCTGTTTAAATTGATTGTTGTTGGAGTGTTCGATGAGCATACTAGTATTTGAAAGTAAGATTTAACTCAGTAAATTATGAATTTTCATGAATTCCAATAAACAGTGGATTTGCAGCATTGTTAACTTGATAAATGTCAAAAAATTAAAAAAAAAAATGGTACTTTTTTATTTTCATTTAAGCATTAAGCGTTTGAATGAACTTTCTACAATTGTTAATATGATAAATTTCATGATTCAAGCATTTCATGAATATTAATTACTTGAATAACGATAAAAAAGATTTTGATTGAAAAAGAGGTAAATAAATATTCGTTACAACATCTACTCTTTTCAAATGTATTATCTTATTTGGCTGTTGTTGTCAATTAAATTATTGATTTTCCAAATCCTATCTTTGCATCTAATTTTTACAATTAGAACTCATCATGATAAATATTCCAGTAAAGTATACTTGTGATTAGTCATTACAGTGAGATATTTTTATAGTAATTTCATAAAATTTGGACTAATTTTATCACTATTTTAATGTAATAACCATTGCGAAGTACTAAAACACTGCAGGAAATAAACTTGGAACTTGAAAAAGAGTGAAAGTAATAATTTTAATTTTATTTTTGCATTTAATTTTATTTTTTGCATTATATGAAATAATTTTATTTTTGCATGATGTGAAACTTTTCCAGAATAAGAGAAATTAGGAATCTTTTTTAAGAGCAATTTTTATATATCATTCATTAGAAAATTCAATTATGCCATCAGTAATTTATTAACTAATAGATGCAATGCATTTTTTCCGCCATTCTCCCACCTTTCTCTTTTGGGCTAATTTCCTAAACTAATTCTCAGGGCAGTCAATGAATTATTATAGTAATTGTGTTTTTATCTTGCTTTTTTTTCTTTCTTTTTTTTTTAATTTAGAAAATCAAAGGTAGCAATTGACCATTTGCTCAAATAGATTTCTGTCAAAATTTCGACATTACTCACAACTTAGTTTTTTTTTTTTTCTTTGCTTGTATTCTCATAAAGTATTTGAATAATTTTAATATTTTCTGCTGAGATTACTGAAAACTATCAGTGTTAGAAAAATAGTTGGAGTAATTGGAATAATGAATAATAATTCATAAATATTAGCTTTCTATTTTGGTTTCATAGAAATAATATTATTAACTGCTGGTTTTTCTTCAATGGTATAGTAACGATATATGTATATTTGGATGAAAATATCACTGAAATGATAAGTATCTGACTGAATTTTTGCATCTGTAAAGAACGATACTTTTTTTTTGGAAGAATGAAAAATAGCGAAGTAATAATTAATTTAGCTTTTAAGGATGTTTTTTTTTTGCTCAGTTACGTAGAATAATTTAATGGGAATTCCAGTAATTACAGTGTTTTTCTCGCCAATACAAAATTGTATTTTATTGATACCTTTCGGAAGAAGTGTTATTTAATCCTAAATCAAGTTTTTTTTTTTGCAAAAAAAGGTATATTAAGAACGAATTGCTCTAATACTGCGAACTTTCAGCATGAATTTTCGTTTTATATCAAATAATTATGCGCTAAAATTTCCAAATATTTGGATTATTTATTTCATTAATTTTAGAGAGAAATGATGAAAGTTGGAAGAGAGGAAGGATTATAATTGAAAACTTATCACCCCGTTAGTGAAAGAGGTAAAAAACGAAAACAGGACTTTATGCTATATAACAATTATGCTTTTTCATTCACCATTTTTTTTTAGAATTTCGAAACTGTCACATAAATCTTGAAATTCGTAAAATTAAATAAATAAAATGAAGTCGACTACCTCTTTCGGCATGTTTCTCTTACTGAGCGACGCTTGATTTATACTTTCTGCATCTTTTTATGAAAATTTATTGAATTTCATCATTTTTGCAATAAATTTTCAATATCCATAATATTAAGTCATATCTGCCGCACTGTTTCATTCTTCCTACATTTTCATTTTTTATTTTTAATTATTATTAACAGAATAATGTCTGTTTAATTCTTCACAAACCTTGGTTTCTCGCTAAGCTCAGTGCCTGTCGAGGAATAACTTATTTGAGGCACCTGAAATGCAATCGATGAGATGTAAAATATTCATACCAAAAAATTAATTTTGTTCTTCAGATGCCTTCAACAAAAATGAGCACACAAATTAGCTAATTAGAATGCCATTTTAAGTAGGTCATCCCATTAAAAAAAGAAAAACTGAAGCTAGTTGGACAGATAGAGAAAAGGAATTTGAAATTTGATATTACTAAAGGAGGTACATATAAGGGGATAATTCTTAAATCCAATTCAATTTTTCAATATTTTTCATTAAACTTTTTCCAAGAAATGAAATATTTACTTTACATAATTTATGCATCATGAATTTTACAAATAGAAATTCTTCGATGTGTGTGTTGCTTCTTTTTTTTTTTTTCAATCACGATAAATTTTAAAAAGAACATTTTTTTTTTCACTTCTCCATTAAGCTTAAAAATTTTTTGAAATGTTTGCTTAGCATCACCTCTCAAAGGAATAATTGGAATGCACATCGATGGAAAATATGGACCGATCTAGAAATTGTTCATTTCTTGATCTAAAAAACTTACTAGAGGAAGTAAGTTTATGACATTTGCACATATATCTTTCTAACTTCGTTTTTCCTTCCCATCATCTCACTGAATTATTAATTTTTTTTTTTTTTTTCAAAAGGTAATTCTGAAAGAAGAAGAGTTCAAATATTCATAACATGAGAAAAGTAGTATTATAGGCAGGAACTCGTGTTAGTTATTTTTCAAACTTTGTCATACAATCACATTTTGATAACTCTTTTTTAATATTTCATTGTTCCCACTTGCTTTCAAACAATCATCCACTACCATTTTTCAAACTCATTTAAGGAAATAAACTGTATTTTCTTTCAAATTTCCTAAAATTGGTTGCGAGAAAAGTTGGATATTTGTGAAAGAAATGGGAATGACATTTGGTAATGATTTGTTAGGTTCGAATTCACTTGCTGACTAACTTTAAAACTTAAAAAGTTTTTCTTTCACTTTATTGTTGGAATTAAAGAATCTTATAAGTGAAGGCATGACAAAGTGGAGAAGATTAGTTAGGAGTAAGATGCATCTAATTTTTCCTTATGCTTTCCTTATATTTTAATAAAATTTTAGACAAAGCCAGGATTGTTAAAAAAAACTAATGCTGTACAGATTGATGCAAAAGTGTTACCAATTATTAATAATGAACAATTGAAGAGACAAGTGGAAGATAACAACAATGAGAAAATAAAACAAATTGTGCAATTTGGGAATTTGATTATTTCATCTTTTTAATAATGTATTTCTTGAGAGATTAATTTTACGCAGATTTCATTTAGCTTAATTCATTACACCTTTTTATCATTGTCTTTTCCGCTATTCCTTGCTGTCATTATTATTTCCGCCATTTGCAAACTAGTTGTTTTGTGTGATAAAATTGGTCGCCTTTCATATAATTTTATTCATTCATTGAAAACATCACGAAATTAAAATTGCTCATTTTTTGAATTCTGAATAATTGGAATAATTTTCAGAGAAGATTCTAAATGTAGGGAAAGAAGGTATCAAATTGTCTGCATCGATGATTTTGTATCCAAAAAAATGCTAACTCTACGAGACATTTTTTGCTCTTCTTGAGACAATATCTTCTTGGGAGTCTTTGCATGCATTAATTAATATAACAACGGTACGTGTAGCAGGAAAGAACGACAACAGTACAATAACAGACGAAATTCATATGTTAATTCATTCATTCGCTTATTTACGTCTCATTCTTGTCATTTTGCTAACTGAAAATTCATCGATCATCTTTGGTCGTCAAGTATTTCTGAAAGGTGATATAATACTGGGAGGTCTCTTCCCTGTACATGAAGCAGGCTTCAATGGTTCTGAGTGTGGAGTTCTGAAAGCAGCGCAAGGTGTACAACGACTTCAAGCAATGCTCTATACATTAGATTTGATTAATAATGATGAGACAATTTTACCGGGCATTTTGCTTGGTGCTCAGATTCTTGATACATGGTGAATTTTAGTTTTTACAAAGTAAATCCTTATTCATTCAATTACTCACTTTCTTCGGAATGATTATTTAAAAGTTTCGAGATCAGAAATGTTAAGCTTTCCTGTAGCAAAAAAGAATGATAAATCAGATTGAAGTAATTTTAAAATTGAAAAGGGACAGCGGCAATAATATAACACATCAAATTTCTTAACCATTCTTTTTTCAAAATTTAAATTTTCTTTAATTTAAATTTTGAATTTTTTATATTGCTTTTCTCATATTGTTAGCACAGCCGAATCAGTCTAGAATTTGCTTTAAAAAATGCTTGACAGAAGCAATATTTTCTGATTAGCATTACCCATTATTAGCACTAATAATGATTGCAAATGTTAATGGAAAAGTGCTTAGAAGCTTATTTGCTTAAGCTCAGTTGATTCGTATGCATTGGAACAAACTTTGGTATTCATCAAAACGATAATGTCGCAAGCGGAAGAGATTTATTGTTCCGATGGTTCTAAACCCATTTACCAGCATCATCCAGTTGCAGCTGTTATTGGTGCTGCTAGCAGTCAAGTTTCTGTTATGGTGGCATCTATGCTACAGCTATTCAAAGTAAATATTTCATTTCATGGAAAAAATTTAATGAAAAATATTGAAAAATTGAATTGGATTTAAGAACTTTCCTTTTGTATGTGCCTCTTTTAGTAATATCAAATTTCAAATTCCTTGTTTGTTATCTGTCCAATTAGCTTTAGCTTTTTTTTTTTTTGAAAAGGGATAGGCTAAACTAATTATTATGCTCATTTTTGTTGAAGGCATCTGAAGAACAAAATTAATTTTTTGGTATCAATATTTTACATCTCATCGATTGCATTTCAGGTGCCTCAAATAAGTTATTCCTCGACAGGCACTGAGCTTAGCGAGAAACCAAGGTTTGTGAAGAAATAAACAGACATTATTCTGTTAATAATAATTAAAAATAGAAAATGAAAATTGTGCAGCAAAATACTTCAACGTTTGGAGTATTCTTATTTCAGATTTGCTTATTTCTCACGTGTGGTACCACCAGACAATTTTCAAGCCACTGCTATGGCACACGTAGTAAGTTGTAAAACCCTTTTCAATCTAAAACATTACAACAAAATTGAGAAGAGATTCTAAATTTTTTCTCTTCTTTTTATTATAAGGTCATTTGCTGTTGAAACGATTCTCTTAGCTAAGAAAAGCAGATAGAAAAGGATAGTCACGTGACGGTTGAGCAATCTACGTGTTCAACGAGTTATTACTTGATATGTTCAACGGAGAAAATAACTTGATGATTCATGTCAGGTCTCGGCACTAGGCTGGACTTACGTGCATGCGATTGCTATAACTGGAGCTTACGGAGAACGAGGGATCGATTCTTTTCGTGCTGCAGCTGCAGAACTTGGGATATGCATTGATGGTGACGTTCATAAGATTAATCGACGGTGGACAGATAGTCAATTCAAGTTAGTTAACCTTTTCTGATCGTTGTAAAAGTGAGCGATCGGTTCTTTTTGATGAAATTAATTGACAGATATTCAATTAAAGTTAATTAATTACTTCCTGTTAAATCATTATCAGTTCATACCTTTTCCCCTATCCTTTAACCGTATCTCTTATGAGTAATTTCTCTTTTTCACTTGAAAAATTTTCCGTTCAAAATTTTTTTTTCACACTTAACTTTTAATATTTGTTTATTTCTCTTCAAAAACTTCTCATTACTCTTTTGCAGAGAGCTTTTCTTCAAAATGAAGTACACAAAGAAAGCACGTGGTGTTGTAATATTCGTTGATGAGGACCAATTAAGGCGGATGCTTTCAAGTTTAGATGATATCAGACATGAAGATTCAACTTTTGATAATTACTTCTGGTAGCTCATAATCTTTCTCTTTAAAAACACAAATCAGTAAACACATGACTCATAAGCGTTACACTATACGTGGACTTTTTTATACGCTTAGTAAAGCAGTGATGATTAGCGCATTAGAATATTGATGTATCCATTTGCTATAAAGTTGTCTTGGAACTACGCTAAGTTTCGCATGACGAAGTTAAAAGTCTCCGGGAGTTGACAAATAGCCGTAACTCAAAATTGATTAAAATTCTAAGAAAATCAAGCGGATAATGAAAACTGACTGGAAAGATTCCTAAAAAATTATTATCTATAAGCTGAAAAAATAAAATAATATAGTTGAGATGATTTATGCTGACAATATATTGGTAAATCTTATAAAAAAAGAAAAGAATAAAATTATGGCATTAAAAAAAGCAAATGAAATTTTGCGAATCGAAGTAATAATATTTATAAATTAATTTCCTTCCATTTCGATTTAAAAAGCTTTGAAGAAACTATTTCATTACGAGCAGTAGCTCAAATTATCGACTTTTAAATTAGCCATAAATTACAAAATAAAGAAATAGTTGAAATCTTACACATTTCTTTTTGAACCAAAAAAATATAATTTGTCGCATAAAAATAATTTAAAAAGAAATGGAACTCAGGTGGATTGCTAGTGATTCTTGGGGGATCAAACAGTCTGTTATAACTGGTTATGAAGCAATGACCAGTGGAGCGGTAACAATCTCACCTGATCTTAAAGTTGTGCCAGGTTTGAAACTATGTGATTGTGAAGAGGATTTTGTATCATTCAAATGTGAAATCTTTCTTACACTCATAGCTTTTTAGAAAATTTATTAATTGAACTGAAAGTCGCGGTAGCTGATACCTGAGGAAGTTTTAAAATACAACAATGAAATTAGACATAGATGATAAATAGCCCAAACAAAATACATTTCTCATCTATAATTTATGTAATTTAAGAAAGAATTAATTTATCGTTTTTGTATTTTTTAAAGTTTCTTTTTTAGTTCTACTTTCAGCACTCACAATTTATTTGCTTCTAGAACAAAATTAAATCTTGGAATTTAGATTTTGACAGATATTTCAAGAATTTATGGCCATCAAATACATTTCTTCGTGAATACTGGGAATTGATTAACTGTACGGACGAACACAATAATTTCGGAGAATGTTTTGACAAACATGGCATTACCTTTAAGCAAGAAGCTTACGTACCATTTGTTATCGATGCAGTAAACGTTGTCGCTAGAGCACTTCATCAATACATACAGGTGCTAAATCATTTGCTACAAGGAGAAAGTAATATAACTGGAAATTTTTAAATTTACTGAATTCTTTAACTACGACTGATAAGATAAGCTATTAATAAAATGCTTGGCTAATCGCTTTCCGAGTATTTGAAAGCAATTCCAATTCCAGAATTAGATTCGAAATTTTGATAAGCTTAATAAAATTAAATAATTGATTTGTATTTTGCATAAATTTACAGACAACCTGTTCATCACTGAACTTCCACAACTGCAATATTTCTAAAACCGATTTCGATGGAGCACGATTGCAAAGTTATTATAGGAACGTTTCAATTGAACGTAAGATTTCAAAATTATAGAAGAGAGAGAAAAAAAAATCAAATATTAAAAATGATTTTCTATGGTAGTAAATTTTGGAAAATCTTTAGTTCTTTAGGAAACTAACTGAAATTTCAATTTATACCTTGTTTTAAAGCTTTTTAATGCTTGTATTTATAATTCTTACAGCTGGTGTTCCACCGCATATTGACGCAAATGGTGATGGGATTGGCAATTATAATATTTACCAATTAAATGATATGGGCTACTATCAAAATGTTGGCAAATGGATTGCAGGAAAGAAGCTTAATCTAAATGTTCGCCGTGTCAGGTTGCCATATTTAGAAGTGTTTTGATTAAAATTAAATTTCCGGTCAAAAAGATAAAGCATTTTAAATGCTGAAATTTTATACAATTTGAGTTTTTTTGGAAAAAAAAAAGAAAAGCTTTATTAGTTTGAAAAATATTTTGAATTTTTAGGAAAGGATTGAAAAGATGGGATGGTTCATTACCGTTATCAGTATGCAGCACAGATTGTCCACGAGGACACTACCGTGCTTATCAGGATCAGAATTGTTGTTGGACTTGCATACCATGCGATGTGTCAACATCAATTATCATCAATGAAACAAGATGAGTAAAAATGCTTTAAGAAAAGTTCGAATACTATTTCTTCTCAATAGTGCAAGCATTGAGACACTAAGCGAAATGATATTAAAATTCCAAAAATAAAAAGTTTTCCAAATTTTGAAAAAATAAAAAAAAATCCATTTTTGTTCTGAATTTTTTTTCTCTTATTTCTTCATGATAAATGTGAAATGAATTTGCAGATGTTTCCAGTGTCCATTAGGTTATGCACCTAATGACGATTTGGTTGCATGCAAACTAATACCACCAACAACATTGGAATATAATAGCCCATGGGTAGTGCTACCAGCCATATGTTCTACACTTGGCATAGTAGCAACACTTTTCGTTTTTGCAGTAATTTTTCTGCTTATTTTTTAAAAATTTAAATTCAAAACATAAAGCGCAAACAAAAAATAAAAAAAAAAATATGATTTTCTTTGATAGTTTAACTTCCACAATTAGCCATAGTGATTTTATTCAATAGGTATTTATTCGATATAGCAGTACACCTGTTATAATGGCATCTGGTCGTGAATTGTGCTACTTCATGTTAGCTGGAATTTTATTGTGCTACCTGGCAACTTTCATCCTTGTATCTAAGCCAAACGTGGCAATATGTGCAGCATCACGAATTCTCATTGGCTTATCAATGTCTACCATTTATGCTGCAATTTTAACCAAAACAAATCTTTTAGCAAGAATATTTTTGATGCAAAGTGTAGGACGTCTTGATTGCATTGTACCCAGTGCGCAGGTTTCATCTTTTGAAATTTCGTTGTTTGATTTTACTTTTCAAAATTCATTGCAAAATTTTGATCTGAAAAGAACAAAAATAAAAAGTGAAAAAATATGAAAATGTATTTAGGAAGTCTACTGTGTTATCAGAATCATAAATATCAAAATAAGTTCACTTATTTCAGATAGCAATATGTTGCGGTATTGTATCGATACAACTGATCGGTTCTTTAGTATGGTTGATTATTGATCCACCAGGTACCGCTATATTATTTCCGTCACGAAAAGAAACAGTTTTAACCTGTAAAGCTAGAGCTTCTCATTTGCTGATTTCATTACTGTACAATATGCTTCTGATCATCGCTTGTACATTGTATGCCTTTAAAACACGAAAAATTCCTGAAAATTTCAACGAAACACGATTAATTGGCTTCACAATGTACAGTACGAGTATCTTATGGCTTTCCTTTGGTTAGTTCTTGTATTTTTCGTCGCATTCCTCACATCTTTATGTGAACACAAAAGTTCACATTCATGTATCTTTTACGTGATTTTGAATACGTCATTTCAAGTATGAATGACTAAATTACGTAGTTTTTATAAATGTTAGCAACGCTTGAATTCTTTCTTTCCAGGACCAATTTACTTTGCAACACAAAATAATTTCAAGGTAACAGATTTAATTATTGGTTTTGAAAAAACAGTGCTTAAATTTAACACTTTTTTTTTTCTGCATGATTTTTAGATGGTATGTGTTTGATGTGTCACTCTGCATGCTTATATTTTTTTTGTCTTTTTTTGTCCTCGAAATTAAATGGACATATTTCGTTTAGACGAACTCATTTCTTAGCTAATTTCTCTAAAACTAATAACAAGCTTATCACGATACAAAGCTAGAAGCTGGAATAAGCATTCAATTTAAAAACATGATAATTTACATAATGCTGGACTGTTACATTAAACTTTAAGTTGAATATTTCGAATTATTATCACTTGTTTTTTAAATTTTGCTAGTGTGAGGTGGTTCTTGTACCCGAAACAATGTTTCATTCCGCAAGCTCAAGCATCTGTAAAAATCCACCAGGTCGTAAGGTGAAATTTTCCTGGAGAGGAGATTCGTCATGTCAGGCTGTCTTATGTGTCACACCATCTGACACTTTAGCGCTGGTTTTATCCCATGACGTAGTGGTCGAAATAACACTCAACAAACATATTCGTATTTGTCGCATTGGTGGTGTTGCGGCTACTATTTGCAGTGGTGGACGAGTGGCTGCTATACATCATCCATCCGTTGAAATTGTCCAACAAGAAACACAGGTAAGCTAGTAGGATTTTTTAGGGATTAATTCGTGAAATACCGAAAAAAAAACATTTAAAAAAATGGTGAAAGAAGGAACTTCAGGTGTTGTTCGATATGGTACAGGGTCCACGGGTTCGGGCTAACAGTGATACTGTCCACGTGTTTGATGTGAAGGGAACAGATCCACCGACACGAGTGCATTCTATAACGAAACAGGAAGTGTTAATTCATGAAAATGTCACCGTAGCAAAGGACAAATTTTGTTTACGTCGCGATATTGACGCTACAGTTGCGCTATTTCTGGACGATGACGGTGGTAGTGACGTATTTGGGATCTATGAAGATAAGCATGAGCGATGCATGCTGGCAGCACGGCAGGCAAATGTAGATCAGAAGGGTAATCAGCTGAATGCAATCGTTCAAGGGGTTAAAGTGAAGCATGATATGGACAATGGCGATACGAGGATTTACTGTGGACGTAATTTCATCTCACTATGTGTATCTACGCATGCTTTAACGTTGCATTCCCCGTGGATCGATATTAATGTTGACCGCTGGTCACGCACGCGTCTACGTCGAGGTGAACAAATTATTGAAACGAGTAAAAATCAATTAAGAATCAGTCAAAACACAACGCATGCAGATTTCACATTAAGTTCTTCTGAAACCGCTGATGAATCGTTGTCAAATGAAGCGAAAGATGGCGACCTTTAAGTTCATCCATCTCTCTTGAAGTTTTCTGATTTGTTTATGACTGCTGCAATTTAACAGTATCTATCATCATCTATAAAACTCCCATCACAGAGCTCATTTTTATTTTCCACCAACAAAGTGAGATTTGAAGTGGTTGCATGCTTGTGTGTAACATGTAATTTATGCACTCATGTCTTTTTAAATTGCACAGTAAATATGTATGCTCTTAAGTTGTTTTACAAACAAAAAGGAAAAATTGAAAGTGATAAAAAGGTTTAAGATTGATAGATTCTGCTCAACAGAGTAATCTTTCAGCTAAAATGAAATTGGCTGACTAATGTTATTGCTTCTGCTTGAATTTTTGCTTCCAAATGTTAAACTTTTTGGTGATTGCACAGATTCTGGCTATTTATTCTCATAACTATCCCTAAAATTAATGGTATTCAAAGAATCTGTAAATAAGTGGAAACAACTGGAAACTGGAAATGAATTTTTGGACAGTAAATAGATAAAGGCTGAAGAATTGAAATGAATTTTTTTTTTTTTTTTGATCATTAGTAAGATTTGTTACCCATCAAACTACTAAACAATATCATAATTTGATTATTCGTCATATTTAGTAGCACTTGTTTTGCCAATTTACATAATTTCTACTCTTACAGATACAAATGACAAGTTTATGTATGTGTATTTCTATGAGCGGTACTGTAGCACTATGTTGCTTTTTTGCGCCAAAAGTATATATTGCTGTATGTCAGCCATACAAAAATGTTCGCATGCGACAAAGCGCTGTTGGTCATTTGGTTAATCAACAAATGAGGTTTATGAGGTATTTCAAATTCATTAATTTTTTTTTTTTTTTTTTGAGCAGTTGAACACGCTTATTATTTGAAAGATTGTTTTCTCTTAAATATCGTTTCAATTTTCAGTCAAATAGCCACCACGGAAGTACCAAATAGCATTCTTTCCACATCTGTGGTTGATTGCTCGTCCTACCCGCATTTTGTATCCTGTAGCATTGTTGAGGGTAAATTTCTCTTATTCATTTTTCCCTCTTATACTTTCCATTTTGTTTATTAGAATAAATTGGTTTAAGCAAAGAATTCTATATGATCACTTTCTTTTCATTTGCCTCTCTCCTTCACATTCAGGGAGTTTGCTATAAATTTCCTTTATCCTTCTAAAACTAATCCATATATTTCCCATTAGCATAAAATATTGATATCTTTCATTTATTGGATGTTCTGCTGGATTTATTGTAATTTATTGTGCATATAATGATTTGAATGCTTTTAATTAAGCTCAAATTTTAAATTAAAAAAAAAAAAGAGTAAGATCTCAAAAGTTTAAAATGAAAGATTAACAGTTAGTACTCAGGACTTCAGCAGAAAAGAATTCTATAACTTCGAGTCAGATAAGCCAGCAATACGGTACCATAGCTCCGGTAATACTGATGAAATCACATCCCAAATGCAATGCAAACAGCGATGACAATGATATCATCCGTAGAAACAGTAACTCCAACGATCACCAAAATTCATCACTTATCAAAACAACAGCATTTCTGCATCACTCTTCTAACAATATGCTGCATTCCAATGATAAACTTCCCAAAGAAACTATTATGTACCAAAATGACACTGAATTATTTTTTGAGCAACTTTTTGTTAATTGTGATGTTACCTCTCTTTGATTTAGTTTTTTCTTTTTTTCCCCTGAATGAATTTTGTCAGCTTTTCATCGATTCAACCTCTCTTCCGCATATCTGGTTTAATTTTTCGCATAATTTTCAATTTTTCCTTATCTTAATTCTTTTTTGATCTTATAATATTTCAACTAGGCTAATTATTATAGCAGTCATTTCAAACTCTTACAAGGTAGGTACATTATTCACAGAATCAGTTAGACCATAATTTCAAAAAATTTCACAGAAGTTCAAATAGTATTATTACATGAATCTGAACTAAAAGTAATACTGGAGATATGGCACTACTTATTCATTTCATTTACACCTGAAAATTGTTTTTTTTTCTACATTTCTTGCAAACTTTTTACGAATTTTTAGTGAGAAAAAAAAATCGAAATAAATTAGAAAAGTTTAAATTCACGATCTCTTCATTGTAAAATGCAAGACTGCAAATAAGTATTGATTAAATAAAATTCAATTATTTATTACTTATGCTCTCTGTGTACCAACTTTTAGTCTCTTCTGGTATAGTAATTGTTGAATATTTGCAACACTATTATTGAATTGAAATGAATGGAACATTTTGTGCTCTGAACTTTAAAAAAATTCAGCAATATGTCAACAAATGAAATCTGAAATAATTTCTTATTTTTATTCATTTATTTTTACAAATTTAAATGTCCTTCAGCAAAACAAATTACAAAACTTTTATTATACTGTTTACAATGTGTCAGACTTATTGGTGACTTCTATTTTGATGCTGTTAGCAAAAAATTAAAAATTAGAAAAGCTATAATCAATAAAATTAAAAATGAGAGAAACGATAATATTTCGTAAAACACAAAACAAATATCGCTTGATGATTTCAATGACTGTTATTATCAAATTTTCGAAGTACAGTACTTTATTACAATTTCTATACAGCTTTTAGACTATTCCACATAATTTCACTGATCTGTTGGGCTTTATAGTTTGCATTAGCTAAGCAAATTGTCTCCGTATTGAACTTGAATAAATTTTTCATTAGCATTCATATATCTATCCTTACTGCATTGAAAACGAAATGAGACTAAGTTTAAACCGATGTGCTGCAACCTTGCATGGATCAAAATTTATTAACATCTATGGTACTATACTAATAAATGAAATGGACCCAATTCATTATTTATTAGTCATGTATATACATTAGAAATTATTGCACAATTGGAAGGAATTTGCATTACTTGCTTTTTTGATTTTAGAAATTTTGTGGAAGCATATTGATTTTTTTCAAAACTTTCTTTGAAATTCTCCTTCATTATAGAGAGGATTTTTTCTTAATGTCACCAAAAATTATATTTTAAATAATAATTCAAAATTTTAATTCCTTCGTTTTTTCATGATGTGATGACAATTGACTAACCCGAACAATTTACATAATTCTATCAAGCAACAGCAAGTTCTGAGATAGCAACTTTTCTTGAATATATTTACAAATCAACATTTCAGGACAATTTTATAGCTATGAAACGAAAAAGACATTGGTGGAGGATTACAAAAATATTATTTAAATTAATATTTTTCTAAAAATTTTATAACTGTAATCATCAAAGAATGTCGAGAAGAAGTGATAATTAAGTAGAGTTAATGAACAAATTCACAGCTTTGTTTATTTGATCTCCTTTTTACACGAAAAAGAAGAAAACAGCAACTACATCAGTAACAATAACGGAAATAATAATATCATTGATGGAGAAACACAAAAATGATAAGATATCAGTGACCTGCAAATAATTCAAACAATGATTGCATATTCCGTGGCACATTTAACAACAAAAAATAAAATGAAGGAAAATTTGGGTTGAGCGTTGTTTTCGAGCAGTTAATACTGCTTGTGGTGACAGGTGACAGTTCATCTGGCGTACGCAAACTTTGATCAAATATGAATTTTGTTTACGAGTTACAAAAAAATTATTGCGATTCTAAATCGTTTAATTGGAAGCTAAAAGAATATGATGAACAATCAATCATTTCGTATACAGTCATTATTTTACTAATTTATTGGATGGATTTCAACTGAAGTAAAATTATTCAAATTTTATTTTCAAAAATTCTTATTAGTTCATTAAAAGTTATGAAGATAATAAATAATATATAAATTTGTCTTCTAATGACAATAAGCGGAACGAATATGATTCCTCGAGAGGTGATATTGAATTTATTACTCATTGCATTTTAACCATACAAAACAAAATGGAAATAATTACAAGAGTTTCTTTATTAAATTATAAGTTCTGAAATGTCAGTTAAAATTAAGAAAAAAAGGGAATTTAAATATTTGGGTACATTTTAATTGCGATAAAGAAGGAAAGGTCAATTTAAATTAGTTGGATCTCAGTCTATATGACCCGTGATACTTTTAGAAGGAAGCTTTTAACGGCAATAACTTGGCATTACTTTCAGTGGAAACTTGAGCAACCGTTGATACAGACCTGAGAATGTATGTTGTACTCGGTGTTGCATTTAGACATTTCTGAGACTGAAAAAATTGGTTAAAATTTGAAAAAGAAAAAAGAAAGAATATTGAAACAGGAAAAGTTGTCACAAATTTTTGTAACTATTGATTTTCACTGTTTTTTTTTCTTGTAGTTTTAATGATCTGAAATGTGTTTAATAATTTAAAAAAAAAAATGATTTTTTTTTTACTAGTTTTAATGATAATTTGAAATATTGGAGTGCAAATTAAGAAAAAAAAATACTGTAGGTATATCCATCTCTAAATTCATAATTTTGAATTTCCGAATAAACCATATCAACGGTACTGGTGCCATAGCAAATAAAACCATTGAACTGGCAATAATCAAGACCCACTCGGGATATGTTTGTGCATTTTGATGTGTCTAAAAATGGAAAATATTATTAACTGAGAAAATAAATTTACCTACTAATTTACAATGGAAATAATTTGAAGACTTTTAAAAGAATTAAAAAGTTAAAAAATCAATAAAACAAATGATAAACTTACTGTCACAGAATTGTAAACCGAATATCTCGGTAAATCAATGAAAGATTTGATAATGGAAGCAAAAAAGAGGATAAGCATCAAGACTGGTGATATGAAACGCCATGTTATAGTCCAATAACAAGAAATTGTTTCACCAGTCATATCCACTAAATCTCGAGCAAAACTGAAATGATATTATCAATAGACTTCAAATGAAAAGCTAATTTGTATCCATTTTGGATTTATTCTTTCCCATCTCAGTTAAATTAATATCATCGTATATAAAACTTTAAATTAGCTGAAGAGGAAAAGCTAACTTTTGCCATCCATAAACGTATATCACAGCCAAAACTTCAAAAAAAGCTACAGCCATTAGAGAGTAAGTACCAGCGAAATGATCAAACAACATTACCCAGTACTGAAATAAGATGAGTGAAGGATCAGATATTCCAGAACGATTGAAAAATCAAATTCTAAATTATTATTTTTATTATTTATATTAATTATTTGACAAATCTGACTTCTGTAGGAACATAAATAAACATAAACAAAGAAATGATTAAGTGAACTGTCATATCAAACAATTTGAAGAAATATCCAGAAAGTCATACCTGACCGGAATGTGTTGTGAAAACAAGACCAATACCACAAGCAATTGAACATAAAATGGCTGTGAGAACGGGTTTTTTCAAGCTGATTAATTTGCTATCATTCAGTGATGTTATTACACCTTCCAAAGTACCAAACATTGAACCCATGCCAAGCATTAAGAGCATCAGGAAGAACATTACTGCCCAAAAAGGTGGAAATGGAAATTGATTTATTGCTTCTGTGAATACAACAAACGCTAAACCGGTCCCTTCGGCTGCCTGAAATTTTTGGATAATTGAATGCCCCGAGAAATTGATAAAAGCTTATGGAAGGAATATGCAAAGTAGTAAATGGAGGAAAATAGAAGAACAGTGATTACCTGTGAAATGATCTGCTTATAATTACAATGACCTGTCACATTAGCCAGAAGAGAATATTCGGTGTCATGGAAGTCGCGGTACATCCATATTGCATATTGCTCCATTGATATATTCTTTTGAATTTCATCAAAGTTGCGAAACTTATTTGGATATATGGCAAGAATATTAGCCATATCACTGAAATGCTTATATCAAACAGTACACAGATTTTAGAAATACTCCTGAATTTTACTTGTAAATTATTTGAAAATAATTTGGATGTAAATTATTCTCAATGTTAAACTTCGAAACTTCAAACTTTTCATCAAATCTTTTTTAAAGAAACTGAAATGAGTTTGTAATTACCGTTTTATACAATTGTTATAGTTTTGTACACCCATATAGCCAAGAACACAAAAAATAACAATAGCCATGTAAAGTGAGGTGATTAGATTGCAAAGAGAAAGCCAAAGAACATCTTTTTTACAGTTGTTCTTTTCTGGATTGTAAGATCCAAATGCTATCAATCCTGAAATTCATTTGCAAATGTGATGAGTGCTTTCTTCATAAAAAAATTTCCATCTGATAAGTAATTTAACAAAATATTCACTTTCTTAATGAGTTTCATGAAACTCTGAGCTTCTTCGTTTTTTATTACAAATTATTTTTTTTTTTTTGTATGACAGAAAAATTTTTACCACCAAAACCTAATCCCATACTATAAAATATTTGTGTTGCAGCTTCCATCCAAACATTTGGATCCCATAAACGCTTTAGCTGAAATAATCTCTAGAAAAATCATTCTTGAAATTACTTTTCTATGCTATTTGCTAATAAAATCATTAGTTCAATGCGCTCAGAATATTAATATTAGCGCAAAAAGGAAAAAAAAAAACAAAAAGTTTTTGGGTAATTCAACTGGAAGATTAATTATCTGACTTGTTTACTTATAATGTTAATTTCACCTTTCATTTTGCAGTTTATTTGTTAATTATTTGCTTTAGAAGAAAAAATAGAACTTACATCAGGATTCATCATATACTTCAAACCTTCAGCTGCGCCATCAAGCATCA